AAGTAAATCATTCAATCCACTCGTGAATTCCACTGAAATTCAATAACTGCTTTTTGTTCCGTGTAACCTAAGAGTCTTTCGCAAATTAACATTGAATATTAGTGCAGTAAACCATTTATCACTCCCAGTTGGACAGATTGCTATCGAATCCGTGAATGAAAATAACGTATATATGCTACTTATGAGTAGTTAAATATTGCCCATGCAAACCAACAGCCTATGCCTCGAAAAGAAAGGGGTGACCCATTGGATGTAGTTTGTTTCCTGGGCCGCCAAAACTTCACTCCATTTTACAAAAATATGCTTGATATGGGAAGTTTATATGTTGAAAATGATGTCTTATGAATCTGGTTGTTATATAAATTCTGAAGTAGTGAAACCACTACAAGGAAAACTACACAAGTCTTGTGGTTTTAAAATTGCATGGAATAAAACAATTACGTGTTAATCAAAGAATTTGTTTTGCAGAATGATTCTGAAAACAATAAAGATGAATCTGATCGAGAAAGACAGACGTTATTTCCAGAATAATTTTATTGTGAGATTGATTCTAAAATACCTCTCGACTCTTACGGAGTGGAACTTAAATAATGAACAAACTTATATGCAAATAAACATTTTGCCTGATGGTTCTGAGCCGAAATTCGTTCAATTTATGACACCTTGTGAAGTCAAAAAAATTTCATAAACACCAGTTTATACGATTAGATAACGAGCAAAACTGAAGTGCAAAGTTTGAACCAAGGTTTTATACAGTTCTTTTAGATAGCATGTAACTTTCTCATGTTTTCTGTTCATGGAAAGCCAACTGCTCTGTAACTAACGCCACTGTGCTACCACAGATCATAGCAAAACCTGCACTGCTCAGTGCACAAATCCGTTGTCTTTTTTATGACTTATGGGAAATGATACGAAGTCTGCCATCAATATGAATTCCTATTTTGAAGTGAAGTTATAGGCAATTTCTTCAATGGATGTTCAATTTCAAAAATGATCCCGAATTATGTATTTGCATCATCTATATATGAAGTCATTCTCTCATTGATAACCGACAAAACGATTACGGTACGTTAGCTTGAACTTGGTGCTAGACCATTTGTACGTTATCACTCCAAATCTATTAGTCCAAAACTGTGTTTCTCTTTTATATACTTTTTTATTTATTTTTCACTGGCCTACAAGCAAGCTTGATGTCAACAAAAACAAAAGCTTTCTCCATGCGTGTTCTTGTTCAAAGAAATAAAACCAAAAAGTTTAAGATTTTACGTAAGATACTTGTTGAAAAAATGACTATGATTGGAAAATGGCCTGTTATTACGTAATTTCTTAAGAGTGGCCACCACTCTGCATAAAACCTACTACAAAGATTTTGTGGAACTGAATGCATAATAGAAAATAACTTGCATGTTTGTGCAAGATAGAAAACCTGGTTTTTACCTCAAACTTTTTGTTGTCCTATGTTTGACACATTGACACTAGATTGATGAAAGGTGAGCACACCAATGTATTGAGGTTCAGTAGGTCTTGTAGGGATGACTGCACTACAACCTGAAGTGAATTTTCCGTTCAAGATGCGAAAATAAACGTGATATCTAAAACAAACGGAATAATATTTTAGTAAATAGGTAATTGTCATAGTCCGATAATAATCCACGCTGCCTATATTCGAAATATGATCTTCTACAGTGTTGTTAATTATTATGCGCTGCTTTAGGGTTATATTTTCTGTGGCAGTGTGAGAGAAGAAAAGTTTGGATCTTCACGGCATCATTTTTATGAAATTTGGACACGTACTTTTGGTAATAAAAATTAAAACCCCACTCTAGTAGAACAAATCACACAAATCTTTGGTATATCCTGGATTTATATTCCGCAGTCCCTGAGATTCAATGAAGTGCAATCATAGGTGCTCATTTTAGCGAACGACACTGATCTTCATGCAAATTCATAAATCATGCACATAAAAAGAAAATAGTATTGGGTATCCGTAAGGTTTCGTTTCGGAAGGAGTGCTTGAGACCAACAAGTTATTTGCTGCGTTTTCGGTATGTGTAATGTAGGCTGGTCTACTATTTGGATATCGAAATCTACTCATTTCAGTTTGATGAAGCGATAACAAGATTCCGGTGAATGCCACTGATTCCAAGAAATCAATAAATTTACTGAAAACTGTTTACGCACAACTTAACGGTTTTCTGTTCTAATGTAAAAGAGATTTCTGATGCACACTGTAGGGGATGAAGGTAACGAGGTTTCCATTTGTGCAGAATGAATTCCTTTCAAACTTAGAACTGACTGTAAGGATTTGTTCTATTTTTAAATGTAAGCCGGATTGAAGGGCTTAAAATAAATATCTCGGAGCCCGAATGGAAGTGATAACCTAACAAGTAATAGGGCAATCGAGCAATTCATGTAACTTTCCTGACACATTTGTAATCACACAGTTATTTCCGCTGTCTCGAAGCGGTGGTTAGAAACACTGAGAGATATGGTTGAGTGCCGTAAATAGTGACGCTCGTGCATCTACTCATTACTCTTGCAACCGCGGTCTATGTTAATTCTCTACCTTCTCTTTGACTCTATTCTCAATCTTTCATCAATCTTTTCCATGTTATTTATCCAAATGGGTAGGAAAAAGACAGCAACCAAAACCGTTGCATGAAAATACATGGCTAGTTGATGTAAAATTTGAAACGAAGAATGAACTGAAGAGCTGGGAAGCACTAGATAGCTATTTAGACCTGGATGGATCTGAAACGCATGTGGTCCACGTTAAAGGCAACGCAACGGGACCACAAATGCCGATAACGAGTCAAAGTCTGTTCTAAACGTCAAAGTTTTCTTGGGGCTGATCGCGACTGAAGTTAAATTACTTCTTCTCATCGAAGGGTGTTGAGATTGTTCTGCAGTGATTCGGACACAGGATATGAGCGATTCATGTGTGCAAAGCATTTATTGCTTTCGAAGGAACTAAATGAACTATGGATTGGAGATGGTATAACATGTAAATCGTAAGTTGAATGTATATTACAAAATGGACAGGAGGTTACCCACTGGACTGCAGCATATCAGATTTTATTGTACAGAGGTTTTATCCAAAAATATTCTATTGCTTCGTCTTTGTGGGTTTAAATCAGTTTTATGCGATGCACGTTGGATGTTATTCAGTCTTTTATAGAGGAAGGAGTAAAATAACAAAGCCATAAAGCGGAAGATGTTAGAACGGTGAAAATATGGTTAGTGGATAATCTGCGCAGAAAGTGAGAAGAGGAACAAGCTTCAATGGTAATGACACTCAGACATTTCACTCAGTGTCTCATCCGGAAAGCCTAACCTGACCCATCAAACAAAATACCGTAGTCGGGGTCCTCATAATCTCCCACTAAGTCATACAATGTTCGACTTTGGCCTTCTCCTATGAATACTTTCCTCATCAAAGATTGTAGGCAAAAGACATTTTTAGCTTATGCCTTACCTATCGTTTTCTATAGAAATCAAGCAGTTGCGTTAGTATTACTGCGGTTACCTAAAAGGTTGCATCTAAACTCAGTATTGCTTAAAAGTCTCAGTTTCAGTTTTACAAATAATAACCATGACTTTTTATGCACCAACTAGCACGATACTGTGTGGACAGCAGCGTTCAAACAAAAAATTATCTGTGGTAGCTGTATTCTGGTGATATATACACCTTTAAAAAGCTCTACATGTACGGCGACAAAATAATATTGGGTTGTAAACCAGGGAACAGAACAGAACAATGATCAATCGGTTTCTGGTGAGGAATGGAGGGAATAAACCAAATTTGTAACTAAGTGGCACATTTTTCAACTTTCTCCATTTTCCCATTGTTAAGAGTGGGAAAGAGACTTTGACCGAACCAAACTTACAACAATAGTTAATGTTTAGAACCACATCAATGTGATAATACTCTCAAATGGCTTGGATAATTTATTATTTTCCGTCAATGTGTTCACTCCAAGACTGTGAAATCCGACCTGCAGAGAACGCTGGACTGTCCTATTAATATCAGGTCCTTCAGTTTTAGAATATCTTAATAAATCCATAAGAACTGTGATAGATTTAGCAAGTGGTAATGTCTTTAATTAAACGAGAAGGAAGTCTGTCCAAACACTTACCTAGATTCCCCTAAATATTGCTTTCTTACCAAGCTTTCCTATGGATCAGACTGGCAATAATTAGTATTTATTTATGTAAACTGACTATCCATCGGATTACACGTTCACACACTCCTCAGTTCATTGATTCAACCATTCACAGTTAACAGATTGTCATGTATCTCCATTCCTTACTGTTGGGCCAAATGAACTGATTGACTATCACTGGAGAGGACACCTGAACAAACACTAATTGGCGATTCTGTTTAGCCTTGGTATGAGCTAGTTGACACGGTGGTAACGCAGACGCCTTCCATGCGCTGGGTCCGTAGTTCGAACGCCGGACAGGATGGGGGATGTGGACTACTGCTAATCCCTAATAAGTAGAAAACTCGAGTCTATTGCTTTCGAGTGGATAGTTGAATCAATGAACTGAGGACTGGGCGTGAAGGTGAAGTCCCGAAAGATAGTCAGTTCAAACCAATCAATATCAATTATCCCACATTACTACTCACTATTAACTGTGAGTTGAATGCTAATTAGTATTCCGTTGTCCATACGTTTACAACTAAGCTTTCTACACTTGATTCCAGATACGTTTTCCTTGGGTACATAACATTATACAAAATTCTATGCCGCATCAAATGTGCATAATTTTGACCAACTTCACCGTACTTAGGTGCTTGAATGGAGTAGACTGAGAATTGACTCACGTTCCTTAAATATTTGTTTTTTAACGCTCGAGTTCGGACAAAGCTGGGGCTACTGCCCTCGAATAATTATGGAAGCTGAAGTGAAGTAGATCTGTATTCATATGTCGTTGTAGGGCTGATTACCGTTGGTCAGCTAGAACTGAAAATGATTGGAAATATTGGCACTTTGATGTCACTTTTCCGAAATTTTTGGTGGATTTTCAAGTGAAGGTAATTTGACTTCGGTACTAAACAGTGTCTGAAAAACCAAGTTGGTCATTTCCGACGGTATACAAGGCAACAAACTCTCAATTATCCATGGTTCATCTTGTGCCAGATTTTTAAATCGATCTACTGATATGGGTTGAGTAAGAGTGCACTGTAATTTTTCACAAAGATAATTAATTGTGTCTCGAACGGGCTCCTCGGGGTCGATTTCTGGATTCTGGGCAGCGACACTTACGTCAAAAGTATCGTGTAGAAATCGACGCACTTCAACATTACGTCGAATCAATCCGTCAGAATCGAGATCCATGATGCGGAAAGCCAGTTCAGCTCGTTCGTTTAGTGTTCCACGCAGCAAAACGGACAACAGCTGCACAAAATCGACCGGACTAACGGTCTTTTTAACACTACTCATCCTTGTATTTTGCATAGCAGCACGACATAATCCGTCCAAACTATAGGGATTAGTAATATCCAATGTGCCGTACAAAAACGACTTAAGTTCCTCCACGGTCATATCACGCACTTCGCGTCCAGTAATTTCCACGCACATGTGTAGCAGAATGCTCAGCTCTGTTTTGTTGAAATGTAACTTTTTAATCCTTTCCACTTGTTTAATTAAATTGAGAATAGCATTCCGAGTTGTGGCATTCAACTCCTCACATATACCACATCGATTGATTTCCCTGAGAGAACAGCAGTCAACAGTGCCTTGTGACAGGCTACTTCCATTTGGAAAAGATGCTGTTTTGTACTATAAGGTGATAAGATCACAAGTAACTTACGTCCGTTTCTTCGGCGTTCTACATTTGACATGCTGGCGGACTACCTATACTCCAACTCGATGACAGTATACCCATTTCGAATTATTGATCCTAACTTCACGTGATTTCCGTGAATAACTTGGACATTTGTTTCTGTTTCCGGAATCTGCATAAAGCTGATGTAAATACCAGAGAGTAAACTACAAGCAAAAGACTTACTAGTTCAAAAAATACTCATTGAGAAATTTGGTAATAACCATTTCTGATTATAAATTTAGTAGAATGATCAAAGGTGTACACGGTACAATAGCTCAATTATGACTTTTTGAGGTACACACATCAGGGATGCAGTTGCTGATCATAAAAGGTAATTTGCATATGATCCCAAAAACAAACGTGAAAAAATTTAAAACAGATGCACTATAAACATAAAGCTAGGTAAATCAAGTTCTGTCACATATAACGAGGATAGATCTGAATGCCATACAAAAATAAGTATAATTATTCCACGTAAGTTGTAATACGAGTAAGAATTTCCTCGTTTGGTAAAAGTTTCCCAATCTTAATTTTGAAACCACTTTAGTGGGTTTTGTGTCAACCTTTTTATACCTAATCTGTATGATCAACGGCTTAAACAGAACCATTTTGTGGATCAAATTAGCAAAAATTCATGTATTACAGTAAACTAAAAAACAATGCATACTAATGACAAGTTTTAAGAATAATAGCACAGCTGTTAAGTGTTCTCTGTTGGGCATCAGTTAGTAAATTTCATCTCGGATGACCGATTTATATACTTTTCATACTCCATTACTTCTGTGTTAAAGGCATTGCTATAAAAATGAAGGTAATGCAGTCAATCTCCTGCTATGTCGCTCCTTCAGGAATTCGAAAAAGTGGGTAAATTCCAGGAACTGCGACATAACAGGGTAAGCAGTAGTAGCATAAAAAAAACGGTTGACAGTTTTGTGACAAAGTAATCCAGATCGATAAAAAGTAGGTTAATCCCGTTAGTTATTCCTAATGTTTTTAATTATAAACTGTTTATCTATAATGGAATTGAGATCTACCGTCCTGCGTATCCTTTACGTATCGAAGAAATTAAAATCTTCTATGATGCCCTCAGCTTAATATCGGCACGTTGCATGCGGTATTCAGCCCTTTTTCAGTTCTGTCTAATTATCCTGAAACTCCCCACCTGTCTTCAGGGGAGTTTTTTCTGACCCAGTTATGCCATATTAATTCCAGATATTCATCCGTTCCGTTGCAATCTTAGGTTAACCACAGAATTGGTTATATGACGTCCACCATATTATACAACAGTTTTAGCTATAATAACCCATTCAAGGAAAATAAAGGTGGACCAGTTCGAATAGAGTGAGAAGGAAATAACATCTAAAATGAGTGAAATATCTGTTACGCGGTATACTCAGAACATTGACATCTTCCTCATATTCAAACTGATTGTTGGCTGTGTAACTTTCTGATGAAAAATGTGTACCACTGGCGTCTGTGGATGTCTATTCGTTCGTTCGATTTTGTTGTTATCAGTGTATCTTCAATCCGGTTGATGCATTCGTCATGACCGTTGTTGGTCGGACTAAGTTCAACACGTGGTGCCATAAGATTATTCATAAACCATACTGTTTTCAATTTAAGATGTCCTAGTATCAATTTAAGATGTCATATTGCTGTGTGGATAGCACTACAGTCCGATTACGCCATCGTTTCGCATCGTATTGTGCTTTTTATGATGATTTAGTTGTCATTTTCAGTCCATCCGTGTGGTGAATGCACGCCTGCTGTGCAGCCGGAGTTCACTCGGTCTGCTAAAGGCTCGCGGCTGTAAACAAGGTGTGGTTTCTCGCTCGAGTTAGGTGGGCAAGCGCTAAGTCTATTTTTGAGGTGATCTATCCGATCAATCGATAAATAAACCCGATCGGTCGTGTGATTTCCGGGCCGGCGTAGGAGGAGGATAAGTTCTGAATCAGATGCTGCTTAAGTGGTAGAGAATCACCACAAGAGAATCAACTGTGGAACGATGGGCCAGGTGTGGGATTCGGAATGAAAAAGTTCAAACGCTGATGGCACTGAGCCAACGTTTGACTCATTTAAGATACACGGACTATTTTTTAAATTCACTCCTGTTCAGCCAACCGAAGGCCATAGAAGCCGGCCAACAGGAACTATGGTAACTCTCAAGTAATTAACGATTCATAAACTAAAAGTGCATCTCACAGACTGTCGCTAGACCCGAGTTACGATGACCTTTGACAAGTGACCTTTCTACTTTCGTCGGTGCTCTTGGACAAGTGAGAGTATCGTTCATTAAGTCAGACGGGTGCGTCCGCGCGACGGTGGTTATCGATCGTCCGGATCTGACATCTCACTGCATTCACCTGCTTACCAGTGAACCGCGATTATCGTTCACCAGTTTAAACGTTGGTGAGACAGAACTGAATGACCGTGGCTTCGGTGACCACTGTAGCAAAAAATGATCACATTCGAGTGCCCCACAGTTCAGCTCAGTGCTACACAGAATTGCAAACTTTCCCCATAGGCCTATAAAGTAATGCTCATGAGTTGTTTGTTTCTTACTTTGTACGGCTGAATAACATATGTTTGACCAAGAGCGAAACCAACTTTTGGAAGCCTTGAAGTAATCACGATGCAATCTTTGTGGTAGTTGGATTGCCTTCTTAAGTTCAATGCACTCCACCATTGGTAACTCCCCGTGCTTTTCCCTTATAACAGTAAACCAAGGAAACGTTGCCTCATTCACTGCCTTGAACTTTTTGTTGGTTTTCTGGTGGCATCTTTCATCAGATGCTCCAGCGTTCGAAAATTCCCCGATAGTCGTTCGATGGGATACAACATAGTAGACAGCTTTTCGTGAAATTTCGAGTGATTTGCCTACGGAACTACGAGTCGCACCTGGCTGTTTCAGCACATTCTGCTTCTCTTTGATCAATAGGTGCTTGCACATTTTGACGTCAGATGACTTTGTCTCCGGTCACTTACATCGGTATGAGTTCCTCGTAGGGATTATCCAATCTGTGAATAGTGCCATGAATGCTTTACACTGGGTGCAACGCCAATGATTGAGTGAAACATTTCAGGGTGGATGATTAATGGTCGTCCCGAACATCGGTCAATGACCACGTGAGTACGTATCAGGAACTGCGACATATTGAGGGGTGCGACATCGCATAGTCAGAAACTACGTTATTAAGCATAAGGTTGGTTTGGGTTTTCGAAAATGTGGGAGGATATTGGAAAATGCGACTTCTCAGGGGTGCGACATAGCAGGAGATTGACCGTAGGATGGCTTTTACTATAAATGAGAAACTCCAGTTCAACAACCCTCACATAAGTCTGTATGCAGGTGCACACAGTAGACTTATAGTTACTGTACTTACCAAGGTTTCTCAATTAAAAAATACACATGACTACTGTCACAGTTTCTGCAAAAATAGTTTCCCCCATCATGACTCAAAATATTTTCTGGTTTTATGGGTAATGCGTTGTGAATTTCTCGCTAACTAGTATCACGATTCATTACACATCATGTAATTGAAAAACACAAATTTCAAAGTGATACTCATTCGTAAATAAATTGTTGTAACCGAAAAAAGCACTATCAGAATGTTTCTTTATTCTCAGTTTTTTTCCCTCCTTACCGGAACTCGATTCATGAACCCATGAATCGAAAGCCGTAAAGTTAACCCCTGGGCTACGCACTCGATGGTGAACACCACGAGGACAGGGCTGTATAGATCAAATGCGTAATTTTTAATTGCTCGCAAGTTCACAGACCCCAGGGTCTTTTAATTACTTTTATTATACTAATGGTATCGGGTATTGGGGTTTTGAACCAATTTCGTTGTTTGATTGATAATTAGTCCGTTTTAAATAATTGCATTCAAATTCACTGCTTCTTTTGTTGAACTTAACTCACCCGTATTAATATGTATTAGTTAGAGTATACTAGAGTAAAAAGTATATATTTTCTGAGCTGAATATGGGTGATAGCCCTCCATCAGTTGTCATAGTTTCCGACTGATTTAATTTATCTCCTATCCGTGTCTAATGCATTCTCTTTTTACCCGTATGTTTACCCCTGAGGCTGGGGGCTATACAGTGGCTGAATACTTAACACATAATGTAGAAGCTGTATTTGTCTCGACCTGGAGCTGAATATCATTCTTACACGACGAGCACGTTCTCACTACCTTGCAATTTTCAATGGTGCACCGGTTTCAGCAGAACCACTACTGGAATAATAATAATAATAGTAATAATAGCAACAATGCTAATCCATGATCAGATCTCAACATAGTAGAACGATGAATGTTGTTATAACTAGCCTATATTTCACTGCAGGGTATATTCCTGAACACTTGGTTTACTGTTTAGTGTAAATTTTCTTTCTCGCTTAGCACAAGCTATAAGATTTCTACACAGTGAAATGGTAGAGAAGAAACGTCGTTTGGCTTCGGAAACAGAACCTTAGTTGCAATAGAAAGGTGTTTTATCAAATTTGCAATTTAGCTACCTTAGGTAAGGAAATCGATTGTAAATGCTTGAAATTCTACAATTCATTTAAATCAGTTATTTTTGTTTCGCTCTATAGAAGTATTCTAAAAGTTACTACCGAAGAATAAATTCTTGATTCCACTTAAGTATTTACCAATCCATTCATATACACCCCGCAACATAATTACTACCCTCTCCCATTAGATTTTGGATTACCGCCGCTCCCATAGGCACGATCATCGCAGTTTCTGAG